CCTCCTCCCCCCCCCCCCCTCCTCCTCCCCATCCTCCTCTCGCTCTGAGCTATCTCGTCGTTTTCCTCCTCCTCATGCTCCTCCTCCTCCTCCTCCTCCTCCTCCTCCTCCTCCTCCTCCTCCTCCTCCTCCCCCTCCCCCTCCTCCACCCTCCCCCCCTCGTCAGAGGAGGGGGGGAGAGGAGAAGGGGGAGGGGGAGCAAGATGAGGAGGAGGAGCAGCAGTAGGAGCAGGAGGAAGAGGGGGAGAAGGGGGAGGACGCGGGGAAGGAGGAGTTTGAACGACCGCACCACTGATCAACGACATTAGCGCTGCAGCGCAAGAGGAGGAGGAGGAACGAGGCGGAGGAAAGGAATCGGCGACCATGCACTGTTCAGGTGCTGCAGCACCGAAGTGTCAATGAAAAAGGTGCGCTATGCAGAAGGAATCCACGTTTTCAAGGCGGAGAAGAGGAGTCGTCGACCATGCAACGTTCAGGTGCTGCAGCACCGAAGCACTTAGCAATGTGAAAAAGTGCGGTGCAGCGCCAGTAAGGAATCCACGTTTTAGGCTAAAGCGCACCACCGCGGCTGCGACCATATCGGGCGCGCCACTCGGATGCCGCCGCCCTCGCGCGGCGCCCGCGCGAGCGAGCACACGATGCTCGCCGTGTGCGCCCAAAAGGCGTCGGCATCGCCGCCGAGCACGTGCGCGGAGGCGCGCGGGTGCAGCTTCTCCTTGAAGAAGTAGGGCAGGACCAAGCTCAAGCCATAGTAGTGGCCGTTCTCGGTGAAGGAGAGGTGTTTCAACACCTCGGCCGCGCTGCGTTCCCCTCCTCCGTCCTCCAACAGCACGACGTCGCCGTATTTGACGTCGTGGTAGCGGCACCGCGCTGCAGCGGGCGTAACAAAGTCCGCAGGCCCGAACTGCTGCAGCAGTTCGCGCGAGATGGCCTTGGACGGCCTGGTGGCGTTAACCAGGCAGTTAACCTTAAAGGTGTCGCCATCCATGAGCTGCCACAGGTGCCGCTCGGTGACGCTCTTCAGGACATTGGCGTCCCAGCCGCTGGAGGCTGCAGCCCCCACCTGAAGAGCGTTCGCAAAGCGCTTGCTGGTCTTGTGCTTGCGCTCCAAAACCCAGCACGACGGCAGCGCCACATGGCCCCAACGCCTCACGTAGTTGGCGAAGTGGTGCAGGTAATGGAACTTCTGCGCCATCGTTTCCTTGCCAAAGACGCTGCTGTATGACAGCAAAAACATGTTAACCGCAGCCTGCAGCTTATCCGCGTCTGCCTGACGCCTGGATACTCGTAGGATTTCTTCCACAACGATCGTGTGCGCCTCGAACACTGCGCAAGCAGATCGGACTGCAGGCGCTGCAGCGTCGCTAGCCACCTCCCTGAAGAAACACGTCAATCCGCCCGCGCGAACGCATGTCCGAACAAGAGGGGTGCAGTACATATCCTACAGAAATTCACGTGCGCTGCAGCGCATGTATTATTGGTCTGGCGGGGGCGCGAAGCATGCAATGATACTTGCATGGTTGTGAGCCCCTCGCTGGCGGCACACTTGAAACGCTTGCTGTCAACGTGGGACCTCACGCGCTTCTCGCCGAAGATCGCGCACGTGTCGGGGGAGATGGAGTGGCACCCTGGAAACGACCAGTCCTGGAAATATGCGTCTGCGCGCGCCCAGTAACCCTTCAACCTTCGAAACATTTGGAACACCAGAATGTTATATGTACCGTTGACGAAATACAATGCATCCAATCAAACATGACTGTCTCGAGCGGCTTGAGTTTCCGAACCCGCTCAGGCAAATGGGGGTCCCAGTTCCAGCCAAGTCGGCGCTCCAACTCCTGGAACTCGCCCTTGTTCATGATGTTGACCCCTTTCGATCAATCTGTTGCAGATGGCATCGAGCAACGGCGCCGTCATCGGCTGCAGCCGCGACGCATCTGGTTCCGAGTGGTGAACAGCGACACCCGTCGCACCAGAAGCAACTATATCCCGAACTTCGCCCTTCAAGAACACGTTGCGGCACGTAAAACATGGTTTGATTCCTGACGAACCTTTCATTCCGATCAAGCGGTGTATTGCATCCTCGTCCGCGATCCGACAGAGCCGCTGCAGCGACGCAGGAAGGCGTAATGGATATATACATGTGCACATGTATGCTAACTAACATTGGATGCTATGCGGCGACCGCTGCAGCGGCTGAATGTAAATTCCGAGGTCCATCTGGATGAGCTCCGTCGCGCCGTCGGGGCGCAGCCGCAAGCTGATGCCTGCGCTGAAGTTGCGCCCCTGATCAGGCCAGAACTGCGCGAGGATTGCGCCCAGTAGCATCGTCAGTCCGCGCGGCTGGATGTCGCTCGCGGTCTTGGCCCGCATCGTCGCGAGCTGGAACCACGCATCCTGCGAACAAATCGCAGCACAACTGGCGCTGCAGCGCCTCTCTCTCTCTCTATCTCTCTCTCTCTCTCTCTCTCTCTCTCTATCTCTCTCTACCCCTCTCCCCCCCCCCGCATATATCGTTGCTGCAGCAACGCTATCGCGAAAGTCCTCCGACGAAAGCGCCTGCGGGCCGAATTCCGCGATCGCCCAGTAGATGCCCCAGGACTTGCGGTTCTGCACGTGCGCCAGCGCGTTGCCAGCGCCTATTTCATCGCCGTAAATGATGATGTGCCACGGGCGTGGCAGCTCCAGCGCCCGCTGCCACAGAGGCTGCGTCGCGGGGAGGGCGCTGCAATACCACAGCATTGCTGCTGGACTGCAGATCTCCACCGTGTGCTGCCCGACTACCATGTTCTGGTGGAGCTTGCCGTACGGCGTGTTCTCACCGACCATGAGCTCCCGAGCGTCTCTGATATCCTGGCGTCGGGATCCCAATTCGGGGGTTCCGTCTCGCTTAACGGACGCCAGGAATTGCGCCATCGCATTACAATGCATGAATGGCAGTTCCGCGCGAAGGCGGGACAGCCGCCGCAGCTTCGCTGGGCGGTCGTCCTCTGCCGCCATCGCGCGCGTTCCCGAGGCAAGCTTGCCTCCGTCGCTGCGCGCGCGCGGAGGGGCCCCTCCGCTAGGGGCCACGGCGACTACGGATGGAAATGAGGCTGCACCGCGTGGAGAGCAACCAAATGCGCGCTGCAGCGCTAACTGCCAAAGCAACAGTCTGGGAGCACATGGCGCTACAGCGCCGCTAACGTTCAATGATGACAATCTGACGCGCTGCAGCGCGAACGTCCTCCTCCTCCTCCATCCTGCTCGCCATCCCCCTCGTCCTCCTCCTCTTCCTCCCCCTCCTATACCTCCTCCTCCTCCTCTTCCTCCTCCCCCTCCTCCCCCTCCTCCTCCCCCGCCTCATGCGCCCCCTCGCCCTCCCCATCCTCCTCCTCAACCTACCCATCCTCCTCATCATCCGTCTCCCGTCCCTTCATCCTCCCCGTCACCATCACCTTCATCGTCAACAGCATCAATATCACTCGCCCTCATCATCCGCCACATCACCATCCAACGAGAAACTGCAAGCGAAACTGCGCTGCAGCGCAACACATTAACACATCATGATCCGCGCGCAAACTTTCAACCGCGGTCCACGGAGAAGCGCTGCAGCGCAACTCAAACAACACGCTCAACCACGTTCCCTCCAGCCTTTACCAATCAAGCGAACCAGCATGCTTCAGCAGGCGGTCGCCGAGGCCGACCCCACTCAGGTCACCTTCATCTTCTTGGCGTTCCGCAGCGAGGTCAACGCCTCGTTGAGTTTCTGGTTGGCCACGTCCGAAGCGGCGATGTCCATCTGACCTTGACCCTGCTACTCATACTCCTCATCCTCCCACATCATCGCCTTCCACCTCCTCCTGATCATCCCCCCTGTCGTCCTTCTCCCCCGCTGCAGCGGGGGAGTCGCCTGCCACACTCATGAACCCCACCGTCCTCCTTCTCATCCGCCTCCTCATCCACCTGCAGCTCCGCGGTGCGGATCTGCACCTGCTTCTCCGCTGTCCTGACGTTCTTCCGCGCCTCCTTCACCTCTGCTGTAGCAGTCGCCGTCGCTCTCGCGCGGGCCTCGCGCAACTCGTCGCGACGGTCGGCGCGCGCTTGCGCTTCGAACGGCTTGTCGCAGCGGCGCGCCGCCATTGCGAGCCCAGTGAGGAGGCGGAGGAGGTCCGTTGCCAGCACCCGCTGCAGCGAACGATGGCGACTGCGACGCGCGAGCCAAGTGAGGAGGAGGAGGAGGAGGGGGGGGAGGGCATGCCATCGGCAACGCGCAACATGAGCGAATCACAGCGCTGCAGCGCGTGACTCGGCAACAACCATGCGGGAGACAACGCTCGACATCGCGAATGATGGCGTTGCAGCGCGTATCGACGAGGAACGATTGGCACTCAAGACGAGCACGTCACGCAAAACATGGGCACCGCGGCTGCAACTGCACACTCACAAACGCGCCAACGCTACAACGGCACCACAAGTCTGACAGGCGCTGCAGCGCTGCATCGGAACACAACAGCGCGCAATATCTACGCCACCATCCAGGAAAGCGAGCGCTGCAGCGCTGCATCGTGATCATGATGGCGATGCAAACGTTGACCACAAAGGCGCCAGCGCTGCAGCGCCCGCATCCAAGATAACCCGTCGACATATTTGACTTTCATCTTCCTCGTCGTCCGTGCGAGCCGCGCGACCGCCAGGCAAGACCATCGCCACTACCGTTCATATCATCGGCCAGCGTTCCATCCAACCTCGCACTAATCCTCACCATCCTCCTCATTCCTTCTCCTCCACATGCTCATCCTCCTCATCATCCTCCCCATCCTCCTCCTCGCCCTCATAATCCTCATCCTCACCTCCATATGCCGACAGTGCCCGTTGCGCGCTCACGGCTTGCCGCGACGGCCAGTGAAGTTCGGGTCGCGGTACGTGCCGCAGCCATTCGGCAGGTAGCGGCATTTGCTGCACCCGAGTGCCATTTGGCCCCGTTTGGCTGCCGCCTTGCCTTTGGGCTTGGCCTTGGCCTTGGCTTTGGCCTTCCCTTTGCCCTTGGCCTTCGGTTTGGCCGTGCCCTTGGCCGCCGTCGTGCCCTTGCCAGCGCCTGTCTTGCTCTTGCCCTTGATCGCGCTCTTGCCCTTGCCCTTCTTGCCCTTGCCCTTGCCCTTGCCCTTGCGAGGCAGCTCGCCTTTCGCGCTGCCCGCAGCCAAGGTCTCGATCGCCTGCAGCACAGCATCCTCGTCTCCGTCTGCTGCTGCAGCAGCATCTTCGTTTGGCGGCGTTGGCGCTGCTGCAGCAGCATCTGGCGCCGCCGCTGGCAATGCTGGCCCAGCTGGCGAATCACCAATCGCGGGGGGACTCGCGGGGGGGCTCGCCGTGGGCGCCGCAGGGCGGCGCGGGAAGAGCTGCAGCTGCAGCTCGTTGGGCGGCGATGGCGGTGGCGCAAACGCTGCCAGCATTTGCTGCATCACGGCCATCGCGTCCATGGGTTGCATTGGCGCTGCAGGCGGCACGGAGGGTGACCCCGATGGTGTCCATGGCACAATGGCAGTGCTCGGCTGATGCGGTGGGGCGGCAGCCCGCAAGCCCTTGTTGGTCAGCCTGAGAGGCACGCGGGCCTTGATGGCGTTGAGACCCGCAGGCCGCTTCAGCGGCGCACGCGTAGCATGAAACCTATCATGCTCTATGCGAGGTGGACCTAAAGGACCGAGCTCACCGAAGCACCCAAGACATCCAGAACAATCAGCGCTGCAGCGCATGACGGGGTGGCAGCAGCCTCGTAGATGCGATGCCACGTTGGCGAGGTCGCGCGTCACATCGATCGGCGGGCCCGCATCGGTGTACGCCGCGTCGAAGATGTGCTGAGGGAGCTGCCGAGGATCTGCTGGGAAATTCCAAGTCACTGTCGCCGCTTGCCCCGTCGCGCCCCTGCGGCTCGCCAAGAACTGGCCCTGTAAAGGGCGACTCGTCGGGAAACCCTAACGCTGACGCGCCGCATCGCATTGGCTGCAGTCAGTGCGATATGATGCGTCTGCGTTAGGCGTTCCCGCCGAATCCCAAACCTTCATCTCCGTCACGATCCCGTAGAGCTGCCCAGGGTTTGCGTCTGGAAGATGGGCGCATGCCATCAACGCCGCCAACTCTTTCAGCGTGTTCTCGCTCGGAACCGTCAAGCCGATGGCACCGCAACGTTTGATCAACGCGCGCACCTTCGCGACGATGCTCTGGCTGGGGTCGCGAAATAAACCCCAGTCCTGCATGGTAAAGTCCACCAGCCTACGAATCGACGCAGGCATGCTGCAGCATGCTAACATAAGTACATTTGAAAAATGAACATGGTAACATACATAAAGTACAGAACAAACAATTAAACCATACATGTGAATAACACTTCGGCGGTCCGATGTGCAAAGCACGATGGATAGCACCGCCCTGACGCGAGCGTCTGCACGCGCATCTGGAGCGCGGGCGTCGCCGTGCCCACGCGCGCGGCCAGCGCGGCGCTGAGGCGCGCCTTGTGGCTGTCCGCGAAGCCCGACGCGGTGATTCGATTCTGCAGGGTAGCTGCTTGGGCAGCCCCGATCGCCCCCAAGTTGTGAAGCTGCAGCTGCACGCTCATGGACAAGGCGGACTGGCTCTGCGCCATCGCGTCGGCGGCGATGACGCCGATCTGCGATGCGAAGAAGGCGTCGCAGCTGTCCAGGTTATCCAGGATGTGGTTGATGGGTGTGGCCGCAGCCGCGGCAGACATGATGCCCTCCGCGAGGGCGAGGGGGTGCGCGGACGCTCCGAGGGGAAGCGCGAGGGAGGGCCTCCCACACTGCGAGAGCTGAAGCACTCGGCTGCTGAGGTGGAAGAGAGGCCACAACAGTACAGATGCGCTGCAGCGCAACGATCGCATGCAATTAAGGAACACACGTGAGCGCTGCAGCGCTCAGCAGAAATCATCGTCACAAAGTAACATGAAGCGCTGCAGCGCTATGCATGCGCACCATGATGGAACGCATGGTAGTGGGCAATAGGGAGAGAGATATAGAGTGATGGAAAGGAGAGGAGGGAGATAATGAGGGACACGGGGGGGGAGGGGGGGGCGGGGGGAGATGCGAGGAGACACGGGAGGGAAGGACACAAGCGCGGGCGGGCGGGCGGGCAGGACACGGGGGGGGATGCATGATCATTTGAGGAACACGGAAGGGACGGTGCGAAAGACACGGAGGGGTGGGAGGGACATGGGAGAAACACGGGGGGGGGCACGGAAGAGACGCGGGAGGGGCACGGGAGTTCGGGGGCGAGCGGGCGGACGGACGCGGAAGCGGTGCGGAGGGACACGGGCGGGAGCGCACGGAAGGCATGTGGAGACACGGAAGGGGCACGGGAGAGACGCGGGAGAGACACGGGAGACGGATAGGTATACACGGGAGCTCGGGAGCGGGCGGGCGGGCAGACACAGGAGGGACACGGAAGGTGTCCGAGGAGGGCGCGGGACGGATTCAGGAGATGCGCGAAGTGTGATCAGGAGCAAATACCGAAGCGATCTGGGAGCCTCGAAGGCAGCTGGGACATCGACAGAGGCGTGTCTGTTCAATAGAGGGGGCTATTGAACAGACACGGGCGTGGCTGTTCAATAGAGGGGGCTATTGAACATGGCATGTTCAATAGAGGGGGCTATTGAACAGACACGGGCGTGGCTGTTCAATAGAGGGGGCTATTGAACAGACACGCCGCTGTCAGGCAGCATCACCTCTGCAGAGGGGCACCGACGCTCTCAGATCGCTTCACCCGAAGCTCCCGTTCGACCTCAGATCAGCCATCCTGATGCCAACATCCAGCACTCCAGCCCACCCCAACGCCCACCCACGCAGTCCCAGAACACTGTCCAC